CCACCCCTCTCCCCTCACGTTAGATGCGCTCATGCCTGTCTTGGATGTTAAAAGGAAACAAAACCCACCACCAGGATGTCCGTCTGCCGAGGGGGTGTGGTGAGTGCTGGGGTTGCCAGTGTCACCCTGCGGGCAGACACAAGGCAGTGGATGACGCTGCCAGGAGCCCGCTGCCCTGGGAGGGCCTGTGAGCGGGGAGTTCCCTGAAGTGGGAAATGTGGAGTGTGGCTAAGGTGACCACAGCTCATCACCCCCATAAAAGAAAGGGGCGCTAAGGATGACATGGGCGCAGAACGGACATCGGAGTGGCATTGTCAGTCGCTAATTACTGCCATGGCCCGGTGGGGCTTACTTCACGCATGTAGATCTGAGAGTGGAGGCTATGGGTTGTGTGGCACTTCTGGCCTCCTCACAGGCAAAAGAGGCCGAGCCCTCATCCCTGATTGGAGTCAGAAGGCTGACTTTGGAGTCGAGGATGGAAACGGGAAGAAAGTAGGGATGTTGAGGCACAGGAGGGGCCTGATGACTCAGCGGTATAGCACCAGAAAGCAGAGGTCACCCCTGGAGCCGGGCAGGCCAGGCTGTGGAAGGGTACTCCATAAGTGGGCAAGGACCGTGGTACTGCCACTTCTAGCGCTGCCTGTGACCTTCCAGGGCGGGTGGCATCTAGGTGTCAGAACCTTGCCCCAGTGAGGAGCAACGCCTCCAGGCCAAGGGGCCCTCACACCTCAAACCCTCCAGGAGAGTTGAATCCCTGCAGGCCACAGCCCCACGCAAGGGGATCTTTGGTCTGTGGTGTGGTCTGGCCGCCTGCAGTCTACACAGAAGCTCTACAGGATGGGCCTGGACAGCCCGCAAAGGCGACAAGACTACCATGCATGGCTCAGGCTGTCGGGTGTCCACTGTACTGTCCAAAGAGCTCCTAGCCTAACACATACCAGACTTGGGCACGATGACATCGAGCTGCCAGCACTCTGAGGTCAGCGGCACTTTCTTCTTTATCCCACTCAGTGTTGGGTTCTTGGGAGAGGCTACATTTTTAATCGTTTATTTCTAAAACATTTTGGTTATTTTTTGAGTCAGAGTCTCATTCTGTCATCCAGGTTGGAGTGTGGCACAATCACTTTTATTTAAAGATTCACCTGGGACCAAGGGGGCTCCACTCTGGGGGAGTCACCACAGCCTCGACCTCCTGGTCTCAGGTGAATCTTCTGCCTCAGCCTTCCAAGTAGGTGAACTACAGGTACACACCACCACACCTGGATAATTTTTGTGATTTTTTTTTTTGGTACAGATAAGGTCTCACTATGTTGGCCAGGCTGGTCCAAATTCCTGGGCTCAAATGATCCTCCCACCTCAGCCTCCTAGAGTGCTGGGTTTATAGGCATGAGCCACCATGCCTGGCCAAGAGGCTAACGAAATACCAGACTATCCACTCTTTAGCCTGAGGTCCTTCCCAAGGCCTTGGACATGCAGCACCTACCCTTGAGTGTGGCAAGTGTGCTCTCCCATGTTCCACCTGAGTGGGCCAGGTACTTTAGGGCCAGGAACTTTGCCTTAGAAATCAGTTCTGGGGGTGGCCTCGTGGCAGAGGCTTAAAATGACCACTGAAAGCCTGATATGGGCTCTTGCAAGCCCCACTAGGGTACGGGCATTAAAAGCGGTTCCAGTGGGAGCCTGGGCTTCCCCAGTCTCAGCTGGAACAATGACATAGACCCAGAAACGGCAGAGAAAGATTCTAAGCAAGAAAAGTGAGCGATGTCCTCTTTTACCAAGCGGTGGTCCTGACACTCAGATTTTCCAAAGATCTGGTGGGACCACATGCTGTCCATTTGTCTAGGACGTAAGAAAAAGTGGTCACCACAGGTAGGAAGCTGGAGTGGCGAGACAGAAAACACATGTGCCTGTCTTTCAGGCTGGCACATGGCCTGGGACCTACTGAAATGTGTGACCAAGGGGAGGAGGGAAGAGACACCGCCAGTCAGAGAGAAGGTCATCCATTTCCTGGAAGCACGATGCCCATTTCCCTGCTGATGGCCGCGGAAAAGTCATGGGCACAAGGGAGGAAAAATACCCTGGATCTGAGTCTCAGCCCAGTCACTGTTTGGACGAGGCCAGAGCATGTGACTTCACCCTCAAGTCTTCATTTTCTAACTACATATTGTGGCTGGTCCTACTCACCTCACAGGGCTGTTGAAAGGAGGACAGGAGGGAGCATGTTTAGGCACCGGTAACCTGCCCGGTGCTTGGCATGGGCCTTGTGACCATGGGCCTGGACATTGTCCCTGGCCATCACTCCAGGGCAATTTTGCATACGCTCCATCAACTGCTCACAGACGAGCGACAGTGGTCATGGATGGTATAAACCTCAGTTCCCGATGAGGACAGCTGTGGGAGTCCCTGGTGATGGATACCCTGGGAAAGTGTCTACGTGATAGCCATAGGAGCTGGACACAGAAGCCTCAGGCCACATACAGGACCCGAGAAGGACAGGTGAACAGAGAGGAATGTGGCTTCAGTACCGACCGTTCATGTCAGAGGAAAAAAAGGCAAATTTTCTCTTGCAGGAAAATGTTCTGCCCAGAGGAAGCCAAGCAAGTCTGTTCCCACCCAACTGATCTCTGGGAGGAAGGGATGAGGCCAAAGACGAGCACCTTCAGTGATCTCGATGGCAGACAAAAGTCAAAGCTCCGCACAGCCTGGGATGGAGCCATGTGCATCCCGGTCTGTCTAGCGCCTAGCACACAGCAGGCGCTCACAAGAAACCAGAAACAAAAATGTAAGTTTTAGCTTTTGCCATGTAGTCAGATCCCACACAACAGCTTCACAAAAGCTGTTTAACGTGGATCAAAAACTCTGGAGAACTCACTCTGCTGGGGGGCATCCTCCCAGGTGAGGGACCCCGCGAGGTGGCGGCCCTTCCCAGCCTCTCTTCTTCCCCAGCTGCCACCTGGCTTGGAGGCTGTGGCTCCGGGACAAGGGGAGGCAGGCCCTGCAAAGGTAGCTCAGGGCCCTGTCGGGGCCTCTGAGGGGTGGGATTTGCAGGCCGACAGAGGAGGAGACGATGGGACGAAAGATGCCATTGAGGTCCCAAGAAGCGCTTTCTCCTGCAGAAAGCAGCAGCCGGAGCCCACAGGGCGGGGGCGGGCAAGGAAGGACATCTGCAAAACTCTTTGGCACTGCAGGGGAACAGCAAGCAGTCCTAGGAAAGCTGGCTGTGTGGGTCCAAAAGCATCTCAGCAGGTGAACACTGAACTGGTGATCTCGGGGCAGGGGGTGGGGGGTGGTGGCAGGACAGCGGGGATCAGAGCTGCCTTCTCTTCTGCAGGTCGGGTGGGATGGGAAGGGGTTCTGCTCTCTCATGCCCCATCCACGTTTTGTTTCTTTAAGATAAGGTTAATTAACAGTAATAACTGACTGCCTTTTGTTTACCATAGAACTAACAGTCAATGTTTTATGGCTGGTCAGCGAATTTTTACCACTCTTGTTGTTATCACTAAGTTTCTTTGTAACATTTGTAAAATCTCATCCTGAGATTTTCTTCCTCAATTTACCCAAATAATGCTGGCCTAATGGGGACTCTTGTTGAGAGTGCATGAAAAAAGATCTACTCTACAGATGCCCGAGAGGGGCCGGGAGCAGCAGTAGGGAGGGACAGGAGGCATCTGTGGGACCCTTGGGTCCCTGTCTCTGTACTATCTCTGTCGCTGTTTACTGCATGCTATGCTTCGCTTGGTGGAGGTCCTACTGGCCCTTGAGCCCCCAGGGCCTCTCAGGAGCAGGGAATAGGGCTCTATGCCAACTTCCTGGGATGCCCCTGCCGTGGGGATGCAGTTGTTGAGCCCGGGGCAGCCTCTGATATATGCTGCAGAGGCTGCAGGGATGGTGGGTGTGGGGACAGCCACAAATGATCTTTCACCCCTACCACAAGGAAGCCACCTGCTCCCGGCACCCAGCTAGCATCTATCTGCTGCCTGCCTGGTTTGCCTCTTAAGGGGGAAGAGCCAGCATCGAAGTCAGGCAGGCCTGGACTCGTATCCTCTGTCCGCCTCTTCTAGCAAGTGAGTCCTTAGCGCACTGAGCCTGAGTTTCATCTATAAAATGGGTATAATATCACACGAGAGGGTTGTTGTGAGGGTCAAAACTTGAATGCAAAGTGCCAGGTCCAGCATTTGGCACCTATGAGCTACTTAGAAAGGGGTGCACACAAGGGTGGAGCTTGCAAACTGGCCCCCTATGCAAACAACCTTTGAAACTCTTGCTCTAGGTAAACAAAAAGGAAATGCCCCAGCAGGGGATAGGGATTCTCACTGAAAAATACCAGGTGGACCCTGCAGTTGGAATGCCCAGGCTGGAACTGCCATCAGGGCCAATCATGGTCCTCAGATAGAAGGTGGGAGGCAGGATGGCAGAGCAGATCTCTAGGCCCACTGCAGTCGGCCCACCTCAGAGGCCCAGGGCCCGAGGTCTTGAGAAGAAGACTCTCTCCCTGGTTTGCCTGTGGAGCTGACTTCTCCAGGATGGAGTTCTTCCTGGTACCAGGCATTCTGGAAGCAGACAGGACAAAACCACTAGGCTTTTAGAGACACGAAGAAGTCAGAGCAAGGACTGGGTGGGCTGCCTGTCCTGTCCGTCCACGCAATGGGAAGCCCTTCTGGAGCTTCTCCTGGTGACAGGCTCTAGCCTGGAGGTCCTGAGTCCTGGTCCCACCGCTGGAAGGTGATACCACTGGATAGGAGGAGGAGTCACTTAAGGCAGGGATGCTGATGTGGACAGAAAGCAAGTTTCGGAGCCACCAGGGAGGCTGTGACAGGAGGCACCAGATCCAGGGGCTCCCTAGGTCTCTGCAATGCACTTTCCACCTGCGAAGGGAAGAAACCACAGTCCCCCCAGTCTGTCTGCCTTGGGAGCTGCGTGCAGGATGATAAATTAAGAGGCGTCTTAAATATGTGGGTAGAGCCAGCAGGGACCAGCAGGTGCTCCAGGCAGAAGGGAGGTGGCTACAGCTTCTTTCGGAGATAGTTGGAAGGAATCCACCCTTCCCAGGAAGGGGCTCCGCTCAGGACCTGGCAGAACCACCAGCCGCTGCTGTTCTTCTCTCGGACTTCAAACACCGTTCCCTCCTGGAAGCTGCTGGTATCTTCGTCTCCTTCGAAGCTGGCCACAGCCACGTATAGGGAGTCCTTCAGGCCATCGGTGCTGGGGAAGGAGGCTGCGGCAGCTTTCTCCCTCTCGCCCATCTTGCTGGTCCCCCGAGGCCCCAGCCCAGCCTTGCCTCGTGTATCATCCTGGACCCCCAAGGAGTTGGAGACAAAAGGCTTGGCTTTTGGAGGGACCAGCAGGGCACGGTTGGGGGTGGGAACAGCCTTGCTTTCATGGGCTTCACGCAGTGGGCCTCTGGCCTCTGGGAGGGGCCTGACCGATGAGGAGGTTTTCTTAGGGGGTGGTGGTCTCCGGGGCGGGACCACAGGTCTCTGCTGGGAAGCCTCTTGGAGGGGGACAGGCACGTTCTTAGGAGCAGGATCTGTGGTCTTGGTTGGCTTCGGAGGGGCCCGGCAGGATGTTTCCTTTGGGCCGAGCCCATCCTGTTTGCCTGCCCTGTCCTGGGTGCGGCCAGGCCCCTCCCCTGGGAGGAAGCCCCGGCTGAAGGCCATGTCTTGGCCCCCAGCAGCCTGGGTTATCTCCCCATCCAACAAGGACTTCTCTTGGGACTTGGCAGGCCTGAGTTTGCTCCTGAGGTTACAGATGTCCACTGGGTCTTCGCCCTGAGGTGGCTCAGTCCTGGGGGAGGGAGCTGGCTTTGGCCTGACCTGAGGTTTGGACTTCAAGAAGGGATTCTGGGGAAGGGTTTCTGGCTTCTCCTCTGGCAGATCGGCCTTGGATTTGGAGATGGGCCGCAGGTTGGGCTTTTTCACCTCCTTGGCCGACACCTTGTGGCCACACTCCAGCCCCATGTCGTTCTTCAGCTGGAACAACTTGCTTTTGTCGGGTTTGGGATCCGGTCTCTTGCCATCCCGGGCTGGGGGGGTGTGTTTGCCCGGGATCATAGGCAGGATCATGCCCGGGGGCTTGGGCGCCGAGCCTCGCAGCTGCTCCGTCCTCTGCCGCTCCCGCTCCTGCAGCTCCCCTTCCGACTTGAGGATGGACTCCTTCCGTGGAGGGAGGCTGGGCTTCTCCTCCAGGTCGGGGTCTGAGATCTCCTCGTAGCCCGCCGATGCAGATGTGTCTGCGGATGCCTTCCTTGGGGCCTCCTTCCCACCCCTCCAGTCCTTGGTCCATGGCGTTCCGGTGTCCATGGTGCCGTGTGGAGCATCGGGCAGCGGCCGGGAGGGGCCGGTGGCTTCACCACTTGAGCTGTTCTCCACGGCAGCAGCATCCCCGAGACGGAGCTGGGTCACCTCGTGGGGCAGGGGAGCCAGAAAGTTGGGTCTCGAGGCATTGCTAGTCTTCTTGTACTTGTCAATGAAGGTTGCCGGGGCCCACCCTTCCTTGTCTTCAATCTGAATGTACCACCAGCCACTCAAATTCTTCTCGATCACCTGCAAGAGAGGGCAGAGGAAACCACTCAGCAGGTACGAAGCCGGGGATGGTGCACAGGATGTCCTGCGTGCAACTGGAGCTCTAGAAGCCGACACTCTGTACGCAGCGGCTTCCCCTATAAGGACTGTGGGGGTCTCATTGGAGGTCTTACCATGTCCCAGGAATATCTTACTTAGGGTAGGTTCTTGTCTAATTTTTTTTTTTTTTGGGTCAGGGTCTCACTCCAGACTAGAGTGCAGTGGCATGCTCATGGCTACTGCAATCTCAACCTCCTGGGTTCAGGTGATCCTACAGCCTCAGCCCCCTGAGTAGCTGGGACTAGAGACACACATCACCACACCCAGCTAATTTCTTGATATTTTTTGTAGAGATAAGGTCTCATTATGTTGTCCAGGCTGGTCTCAAACTCCTGGTCTCAAGCATTTCTCCCGTCTTGGCCTCCCAAAGTGTGGGATTATGGGTGTGAGCCACTGTGCCCAGCCCTTGTCTACTTTTGGACTCCTGTAGAAGCAGTCCCTGAGACCCAGACTTGGGTACAGTACTTCATCTTAGAGGCAGTCCCAGCAAGTAGAGAAAGTGATGGGGGAGGGGAAGAGGACAGTTATGGATAAGTCATTGCTCTGGGCCACTGGGGCTTTATCCTGAGAGGGTCCCCTGGGGATGGGGGCATTTCTTTATCAACTGCCAGCCCCTCCCCACACAGGGCATAAGCTCCCTTCCCCTTTTGGGAGATAGGAAGCCGTCTGCCTGCAGGGGCCCGTGTGCAGCTGCAGGTTGGCTCAGGTGGACTGGGCACCAGCAGTGTCCACTACAACTCTAAAGCACAAGGCAAAAGCCAATGCACCTCTGAGCCCGGCTTCAAGCGGGCTGGTGTTCACAGAGGCCACACCATAGGAACAGCGCCCAACTCTGAACACAGAGTCACACTCAGCTGAAGAGATGCTCCTGTTCACACACGGGACTGAGGCTGGTGGAACGGAGCAGGCTTTCACCTCTTGTCTCTCTTCCTCTGGGACACACATCCGCTGAAAGGAGGGGTGGCTGACTCACCCACGTGACTTAAGTTCTCATGTTTCCTGTTTTTTTTGGTCAAGTACTGCATGGCCGAATTCACATAGGAGAAAGATGCACACACTCTATGTTATGGGTTGAACTGTGTCTCTCTTACACTCATACGTTGAAGCCCAAACCCCCAATACCTATGAAAGTGATTTATTAGGACACAGACCCTCTAAAGAGGTTTAATTAGTTTAAAATGGGTCGTTAGGATAGGCCTTAATCTATATCATTGATATCTTTATAAGAGGAGGAAGGCTGTGCAGGGTGGTGGCTCATGCCTGTAATTCCAGCACTTTGGGAGGCTGGGGCGGGAGGATTGCATGAGCCCAGGAGTTTGAGACTAGCCTGGGCAACACAGTGAAACCCCGTTTCTACAGAAAATTAAAAAATCAGCCAGGTGTAGTGGCACCTGTAGACCCAGCTACTACGGAGGCTGAAGCAGGAGGATCCTTTGAGCCCAGGAGTTTGAGCCAGCAGTGATCTATGATCATGATGCTGCACTCCAGCCTGTGTGACAGAGCAAGACCCTGTCTCAAAATAAATACATAGCCAGGTGTGGTGGCTCATGCTTGTAATTCCAGTACTTGGCGAGGCTAAGGCAGAAGGACTGGCTGAGCCCAGGGGTGCGAGCCCCATCTGGACAACTTGGTGAGACCTTGTCTCTACAATACATAAAAAAATTAGCTGGGTGTGGTGGTGCACACCTATGGTTCCAGCCACTTGGAAGGATCACCTTAGCCCAGCAGGTTGAGGCTGCAGTGGCTGTGAGCATGCCACTGAAGTCCATCCAGCCTGGGCGACAGTGAGACTGACAAAAAAAACAGAAGAAGCAGAAAAAAAAGCTGCGTGTGGCTGGACTCAGTGGCTTAGCCCGTAATCCCAGCACTTTGGGAGACTGAGGTGAGTGGACTGCCTGAGTCTGCAGGTTCAAGACCAGCCGGGGCAACTTGGTGAGACCCCATCTCTACAATATATACAAAATTAGCCAGACGTCGTAAGTGCATGCCTGTAGTTCTGGCTACTTGGAAGGCTGATGCTGAAGGATCGCCAGAGCCCAGCAGGTTGACGCTAGAGTAGCTGTGAGCATGCCACTGCACTCTAGACTGGGCAAAGTAGTGAGACTCCAACTCAAAAAAAAAAAAAAAAAAAAAAGGTCGGGTGCAGTGGCTCATGCCTATAATCCCAGCACTTTGGGAGGCCAAGGTGAGAGGACTGCCTGAGCCCATGGATTTGAGACCAGACTGGACAACTTGGTGAGACCTCATCTCTACAATAAATCAAAAAATTAGCAAGGCATGGTGGCACATGCCTATGGTTCCAGCTACTTGGAAGGTTGAGGTGGAAGGATAGCCTGAGACCAGTAGGTCGAGGCTGCGGTGGCCAGGAGCGTGCCACTGCTCTCCAGCCTGGGTGGCAGAATGAGACTCCAACTAAAAAAAAAAAAAAAAAAAAAAAATGAAAAAAGGGGGGG